TTTTCTTTTTCAATACATTTTAAAATGTAATTTATTCCTTTGATTGCAAAGCTGAATTTTCACCAGTCATTACTCCAGTGTCACATGATCCTTCAGAAATCATTCTAATAAGCTGATTTGTGCTAAAGAAACACTAATTATTATCACAGCTGAAAAGAGTTGGGCTGCTTAATATTTTTGTGGAAAATGTGATACTTTTTTCCAGGATTCTTTGATTAAACTTGAAATTGAACAATTTAAAAGTAGTCACTGTCACTTTTCATCAATTTAATGCATCCTTGATTTAAAAAATAAATAAATAGCTTTATTTAAAAAAAAAAACAGTAGCATATATAAACATTAAACTACTCTTTATTATTTTTTGCTGTTTTCTTAGGTAAAGCTAAGTAGGTGTAGTTTAGTTACGCCATAAAGAACTGCCATGCCGTGTATGTAAGTTGAATGTTTAACATGTTTAGACACAGACCACAGTGATGTAGTCTTGCAGCGATCAGCCGTGTTCCCATAGAACCCTCTAAAGACTCACAGTGACCCAAGTCAGACATGCCAGTGATCCCAGCTCCCCTTTGTGCCAGGTTACTAAATGCTAGAGTGATCAAAACCGGGCCAAGTCCCGCCTCCTCCATCCAACTCTTTTCAGCCCTTCCCTTCTCTCTCTCTTTCTTGTTCGTCTGTCCACTGCCTCCCAGGCTGTCTGTCTCCAATAGTGATGTGCGGGGAACAATGGTGAACTCTTTGTACCATGAAGTGCTATGGAGGCAGGGCGCTTTCAATAAAAAGCCTTTAAGAAACGATGGGAGACATTTTTCTCTGCTAAATTATTGCAGTTTGGTTGAGTGTATTAAACATTCTGATAACAAGTGACATGCATCGTTATGGTAGATAACTGAGACAACATGCATTAACATCAACTTCTGTTACTACTGAAATAATGAATAGCTCAACTGTGACCTTTAGGATGAATGTCCAATGACCAAGCTCCCTCATACATATTACATCAGATTATTAAGTGAGTTTGGCTGCGTGGTGCTGACAATAGAGAGCTGGCCACAAATCACTTTAAACGCAGGCCAGTTAAGGCTTTAAGTCCAGGATGCCGAGTATCGCCACCCAGGCAGTCTTTGAGTGATTTTTAGGCCTATTTATCTGACATCTGAGGCCAAACATTCGGTTAACTGCCTCCTACTTTGAAGTGTATTTTTCAAGTGAGTGTGCTTGTTTTTTTCCCCTGCAAAGCAAAATTTTGTCTCATATTTTCTTAAAGTCATTATGATATTGAAATTAATCCCATATCTATACTTTAAACTAGTGTTATTGATTTTATTGTGAACAATTAATGTGCATATAGTTTAATGTTTTAAATATTTTTGACCTCCTATTCTTTTCATCTATATATCATAACTCAGTCTTCTCTCTGATGACGTATGCCAGACATCTCCAATCAATTCACGTCTGCATCTAATCAACAACAGATAAACAGAATCAAGTCCCCGGCCTACATTTTTTCCTTTTCCATAGTCTATTTCTCTCGAATGTAGGAAATTATCTGTCGCTACTTCCGTTACATTGCAAATTTAACAAAATAATTGCAAGGCCTAAAGTAAAAATGAGTGAATTTAAAGTATGGAATGGAAAGATACAATGAATACCAGACAAACAAAACTGAAATCTCTTAATTAACTGAACTTTTCAAAATCAAATCAGTATTTTGATTCATCTCAAATCAAATCTTTTGAATCAGTTCACTTAAAAGATCCTTTCTTCAGGGTACATGGGCAATAGGTGGCAATAAGTGAATTCTTTGTTATAACTGAGTCACTGAATCATTTCTTCAACTAACTTGTCCAAACTTTGTTCCTTCAGTTCCTTAAACAATCATTCAATGAAGGTCGCCTGTTTGTTCATTAGGTCTAATTAATCAAATGCTCCTTTCTATATGCTATATAATGAAATATGCTCTTAGCTTTCTGTAGTCAGTCTGGAAATTAGTCACGCACTTCTAAAGGCAGAAGCTGTGAAATCATGCCATAGTGCACTATATGTGTCATTTACTGTGTACAAAATAAAGTGAATGAGTGGATGAGTGATTGATTTTGGAAGAAGCTTTTGAATGAGTGAACGAGTCAGTTTGTGTAAGTTAGTGAACAAGAATGATTTGTTTAAAACAAAGAATCATTCATGAAATGAAACACTACTATGCAAACTTTCAAAGAAAAAAGTCCAGTGACTTTACATATCCAACACGGGGCTCATATAAGCTCAGTGTTTAGTGAAACTTTTCTTCCTTTTCACCATGTTAATCTGTCAAGCCTCAGAGCAGCTTTCGCCTTTTCTGGACGCGAAACAACGGCGGTATTCAGTGTGGTTGTGATTTAGAGTGTGCTACTTGGACCCAGAGTTAAATCTTTAGCATTTGTCTGCATAGAGGATACTACAGGATAAACAATCGCTTAACAGCACACTGCGTTTGAAAGTCAGAAACACTGATGCACTGATCTCAGATGAAGGCACCCAGTCAAAACCTCGCTGTTAATGCAATGCACGACTCTGTTTTCCCAGTCACCTTAAACTAACAAGCCATCTGTTGTCATGCAAGACATTGAAAAAAACAAGAGGAATCTGGTTGTGTCTGTGCTGTTTTTGCTATTAGTGTCATAAAGAGTGGATTGATTCCATAAGGGCTCAGACTCAAACAACCTGTAGAATAACTGAAAACTCTTGTACTGCAGTGAGGGGCTACTGCAGCATACCACAAAATTTGTAGGCAGTTAGATGCATCTACATAGCATACAAACTCTTCAACACCTGCAAAGAAATAACTGCATGCACATTTACTACTAAGTATCTAATTTCTTCAATGAAACAGGCCTACATTTTAACATTCCAAAAGAAAACTGGGAAAACAAACTAAACAATAGCATTTCTAGTCCTGTCGTGACAGCAGTTGTGATACTGTTATGTGCTATCGCACATTCTTTGCCCTGAGGTTTAACCTGGCACAGATGCAAGTCTTTCTAATCATTGCTTTGAGCTGACAAAACCTCCCACATTTCAAAATAACATCCTGGTACAGACAGTGTGATGACAATTTTAGATTCCAAGGACAGTTAACTTCCCTTCTTCCTGGTTACCATTGTGCTCTTGTGATAGTAGAGCTCCTCAGGGATGAATGCAACCACCCTTTTTCCATAGCACAAACTCACAATGGCTTACGAAGAACTTTTACATGCTTGTGGGATGCTGCAGTACATGTGTTTACTACAGTTGTGTCTGGATGGTACCTTCTTACATTGACCGAAATGATCATTATATACTTAAAATTAGTCACACAATAGTATGATAATATGTGCATTACTATATATATATATATATATATATATATATACTTACATAAAACGTTGTAGTGTTTGCTATTGTTTTTAATGTAATGTTTTTGAAAGAAGTCTCTTATACTCACAGTAATATTGTGAAATATTATTACATTTTAAAATAACTTTTTACAATTTGAATATATTTTACAATGTAATTTATACCTGTGATGGCAAAGCTGAATTTTCAGCAGCCATTGTTCCAGTCTTCAGTGTCACTTTGCATATATATGAAGAATCTAAAAAAATATAGTTTTGATTTGTTAGACATTTTTGTTCACCTTATAATTCCCATACTTCCTTTTTAAAATGTGGAAAATAGAAAATAGGAATAAAAAAATTGGTATGTGTGCAAATGTTTGACTTGTATTGTACATGACTGTATACATAAAAGCATGTTAACTGAGTGGTTTGTTTACATGTTGACATAGCTCTTTGAGCTCAGATTCCTTTGTTCAGTCATGTATCTTTGACATATATATAGAGAGCCAGGAAGGATCTAAAACAAACAGGACATGTGAACATAGAAAAGAGATATGCAGCATATACATCCTGAGGCATTATGCAATGAACCCAGGACCAATGCACAGATATGCTTATTATAAGCATATATTATACCTCCAGATATGCTTCCACATATCTGGAGAAGATATGTGGAAGCAGCCCCGTTCTTGGGTGTTGAAATTATATTATATTTTCTAGAAGAGCTTCAAGTGTCACAGCAGGAATGACAAAACTGTTGGCTCTGCACTATGAACTCTCTGACCTTTTTGCTTGTTGATTTCAAATGAACTAAATTTTAAATGAAAGGAAATAGTGAACTGATTATACCATCATAGAGAGATTAAACGAAACCGTTTTATGTAATAGCCTACTCTTTGTTTCATATGCTCCACATTATGTTAGTGTGTAATAACATCCATTAGTCATTATGACATGTGGTCTACAATTTATAGAGGGCAATTTACATCAACCATAAAGAACTGTTGCCCAAGCATCCATGATATGCTTTCAAGTATGGAATCTTGATTTCATTTACAGTGTTGACTCCATCACGCTATTTTTCTGATCAATCCTGTGTAGTCTGTGTTGTAATTATGGATTCTGGGGTTAATGTAAGGGTAACATACACTCACAATCATAAATTGTGGATATAAAAACAAAATATAATGTATTAGTTGTGAAAGGTACAAAGAGATCAGCCCTGTAAAATGTGGTTTAGATTATGATGAGTTAGTGTGGTTTTTTAGAACAGATGCAACTCGCACATATAACTAACTACCACCCCCTAGTGGTTACTTGGAGTTTTGGAGTAAAACAGATCTAAATAATATATACAAGAGTGAATTTTAATAGAAAATGCAAAAAAATACATTGTTAACATTTAGATTTACATACATTTCGGTCAAATACACCAAAACATACATCTAAAAAAAATACAAAATAAAAAAAAAATAAAAACACCCACGACCAGGAATAAACATATGTATAAATACATACTTGAACTTTTTATTTTATTAAATTGTTATTTTATTTTAGCAAAATCGTGCATTTTTGTGTCATTTTGCAAATAATTCTTGACCTTTATTTTGAAAATCTAAACAGGAAGTAGCTTCTCTACAAACTTCCGACTAGGATGCACGAAACCCTCTAAGGGATTTCCCTTTATTTGATATCCTTGTTGATTGCCTTGAAAGAGAAAAACACAGTATAAACAGGCTAGAAACACAGCGCCAGTCATGTCAGAGACATACGGTAGGGTGACTAATTGTCCTTTTCTCCTGCCACACTTCTTATCGGCAGCATAGCATGAATTTTAGCGGGTGTCCCGAGCTCATTCATCCCAGTATTTGCTTACAAGCTCTGTTCAGTGCCAGCTAGGCAGCAGCTATCTGTCTGCCATATGTTTCATCTGTCGACGCCATTCATAGAAGTGTTCATTAATCTTTGATTAGTCAATTAAAACAGTACTTATAGTAACAATGACTATAGAAAGACTGTTATTTATTTGGATATAACTTGCTGACAAACCTCTTTAATGTCTACATTAGATTATGACCAGTGTCAATAGCCTATAGTCTGATTAATATTTTGATATAGTAACATTCCTATACAGTATAGTATAGTATACTATCCTATTATTATGAGAATTCTATGCAGTTTTTGACAAAACATCTTTATTGTTTTTGTTTTCCTCCCATTTAGATTTCCTGTTTAAGTTTCTTGTAATCGGAAATGCAGGAACTGGAAAATCTTGTCTGCTTCATCAGTTTATAGAAAAAAGATGTATGTCAGTTTCTGTTATCTTATCATAAAACATTCAGAAACAAACCTATGAAATGACAGTCATTGTTCTGTTGCTGATGTCTTTTCCTTGTTCGTCTAGTCAAAGATGACTCGAATCACACTATCGGGGTTGAATTTGGCTCGAAGATAATCAGTGTGGTCAATAAGTTTGTCAAGCTCCAGATCTGGGATACAGCAGGACAGGAGCGTTTCAGGTGTGTTCATACGGCTGTGTCATATTTCTTGGCCTTGTCTGTAAGGACCACTGTGAGATTTGGCTTATGATGATATTTTCAGACTCAAACAACCTGTAGAATAACTGAAAACTCTTGATGTACTGCAGTGAGGGGCTACTGCAGCATACCACAAAATTTGTAGGCAGTTAGATGCATCTACATAGCATACAAACTCTTCAACACCTGCAAAGAAATAACTGCATGCACATTTACTACTAAGTATCTAATTTCTTCAATGAAACATGTCAGATGGTGGAGCATTTGGGGAGGGAGTGATTCAAGTCCAGATTGCATGTAGGAGTTTATAGTACCTTGCACAGATTCATTTGTCAGCGCTATCAACATGCACTTAATTTGCACTGAACATTTGCCCGCAGCTTCCTTTAGAGCCAAGATAGCCTCAGCGCATTTAAAATGAAAATATGCTGATGTCACACAAACCACCTTTTGTTTATGTAGGGTTTTTTGTGTGTTTATACATAGCTTTGAGACTTATTAGAAATATTAAAAACTTTTTTTAATCTTGTCTTTACTTGCACAGGGCACCAATTAAGCCAAATGTGCCACTGGTGCTCCTTTAAAAAATGATAAATTATTATATAAAAAAAATATAAAAATAAACAAAAAAAACTTTATTTTTTAAAATATATTTTCAGTTTTTATTCAGTTTAAGATTTAGTAAATTTGTTGTGTGCTATTTAAATTTCTATTAGTTTTTATCAGTTTCATTTTATATTTTTATTCATTTTTATTTAAATTTTAGTTTTAGAAATTTTAATACTTTATCTTACTTGAATTGAGTTAGTTTGCAAGGCAACATTTTTAGTTTTGTACATATTAAATTTTGTATTTTTATATATATATATATATATATATAAATTAATATCTTAATAGCTTTTAATAAAGCTATTAATAGCTTTAGTTAACAATGAAAACACTGTGTACAACACCCCGGAGAGAAAGCTGTTTATTTCATTGGTAAAGTGAAAACAGTTTGTTTTTCGTTACAGTTACATAATTATAAAAAAATCACAAGACAGCTTGATGCTAAATATTACACAATTAGTCTCTTCTTCAAACAGCACTGAGAAGAGTTTTTGGCACTGTTCTGTTTGCTGCTGCAGCTCATTTTATTATACAATAATGTGCATTAAAACATTGTCTTGCATGTTTATTTCAGATAAGCAGATAATATGTTGTAGACATTCAGGAAAACATGCTGTAGCTTGAACAGAAACGTGTCAGTCCGGCTAATGTTGAAGGAGGTCTGAGCCATACAGTCCTGCTCTTGTGAGCAGATATGATTAGACTAGCGGTCAATTGATATTGATTTTGCAGCGTCTAGTGACGTTATCTAGACGGCAGGGTGGCTGATTGCTGATATAATCCCAGTATACTATCCAGAGTACTATTTAATGTCAGTAACGTCATTTGGACGTCAATGTTTTAGCACTTATTTAAGTATTTGCATTCGCTTTGTTCATTCTAGTACTTTCACAATTGAATGAATTCCAGAAGAAAAACAGATCTCACCCTATTCTCACTGATTATTCTGTTTGAAGTTAAATGTGTTTGTGTGAATGGCAATTCAGCCTTTAAGCATTTATTTTACATAATATTTACTCATCAACGATGTATGTAAAATAAAACTAAAAAAGAAGACCGTTCTTGTGAGGTCGGATCATGATCTTTTATACTACATAATATTTACTCAAAATCAACTCAATTATACACTATTCCAAAGTTTGGAGTCAGTAAGATGTTTTAATGTTTTTAAAGAAAGCCTCTTATGCTCACCAAGGCTGCATTTATTTGATTAAAAATACAGTAAAAATGGCAATATTGTGAAATAGTATTGCAATTTACAATAACTGTTCAGTAATTTTATATATTTTAATATATAATTTATTCTTGTTATGACAATGTTGAATTTTCAGCAGCCATTACTCTAGTTTTTAGTGTCACATGATCATTCAGAAATCATTCTAATGTGATGATTTGGTGCTCAAGAAACATTTCTTATTATTATCAGTGTTGATTGTTATTTGACTTATTGCATCTTTGTTGAATAAAAGCATTAAAAATAATCCTGAGCTTTTAAATGGTAGTGTATTTGAATAAAAAAAAAGTATTATACATTTCTAAAACTAACTGCCAATGCCAGTAATCTCTAAAATGACCAAATATCAGCCACATAATTGTTTGGCTGATATATTGCTTTATCACTAGATTTGACACAGAGGTTTGATGTTTGTTCTCCTCAGGTCTGTAACACGCAGCTATTACAGAGGGGCAGCAGGGGCTCTTCTCGTGTATGACATCACTAGGTAAAGTCACACTTGTATATCCAGTGCCTCTACATAATATTATGTATTGCGCTTCCCCCTCCCCCCCCAGATATTCATATATTTCTGGATGTTTACCTAGAGCTATACTATGATATGCATTTATAGATCCTTTAGTGTGTTGATTTCTCACGCTTTCTGTCTCCGGATGTTAGTCGAGAAACCTACAACGCTCTGACCAACTGGCTGACAGATGCCAGGATGCTGGCCAGCCAGAACATCGTGATCATACTGTGTGGAAATAAGAAAGATCTGGATGCTGACCGTGAAGTCACCTTTCTGGAGGCCTCACGCTTCGCTCAAGAGAATGGTGCGTATTTCAGACAAGCAGTTCCCGGCTGCTAACAATTGTACTGAATTATAGAGGCACCCAATTGCTTTCAAACGGCTGATAAATACATCACAATAATCCACATGACCACAGTCCATCAATAAATATCTAGTGAAGGGATACTTCATCAAGATGTTTTGGCTAAAATACATGTTCTCTATTCATTATATCCTTTAAAGCATGTTTATAGCTCAAACATATGTATTGGACAATATATCTGCTTTCATATTGTGATTGTACCACTAGAGGTCACTACAGGATAGTATTACTAACATAAACATGAACCAGTAGAGACCCACAACTGGCTGCATTGAGATCACAAGGGCTTTTTCTGAGGCTAAACAGTGATTGGTTATTGGTGCATTACCATTGTGGATATACTGTTTGCTTATAGATCTGTGGTGTTATTGTTAACTGAAATTATAAAAAAATATTTGCATTAATTTAAATAAAGCTCAAATAAAATAAAATATAAATATGAAATAAAAATAATATATTTGGAAATGTTGCAATGGCAACTAAATTGAATAAAATACCTTAAGTAGAAGTACTAAAATGACTAAAGCCAAATATAAATAAATTAAAGCTAAATAGAAATAAAAAAACTAATAAAAATCACAAAAGCACATAAAAATTAAAATGAAAACTGAAAATACGAAAATAAAATCCACATCAAAATATTACTAAATATTATAATAATATATAAATAATTCTAAATAAACACTATTACGGAATATTTTGCAATATATTCACAATCTTTAATTTTTTTTTCAGTGAGCATTGTTTATATCTTTGTTTTCAGAGCTCATGTTTTTGGAGACCAGTGCTCTAACAGGGGAGAACGTGGAGGAAGCTTTTGTCCAGTGTGCTCGGAAAATCCTAAACAAAATAGAATCAGGTACAAAAATACCAGTGCCTTGTGCTGTTACTTATAAGCTTGCAAAAACATTTGAATCAAGCTGCTGTGCTTGTCATTTGGTTGTGTAGGCGAGCTGGACCCGGAGCGGATGGGTTCAGGAATCCAGTACGGAGATGCAGCGTTGCGGCAGCTGCGTTCTCCCAGACGGGCTCAAGCAGTAATCTCTAAAATGACCAAATATCAGCCACTTAATTGTTTGGCTGATATATTGGTTTATCACTAGATTTGACCGTCCGTTATCACAAACTTTTGCTGATCTTACAGAGGCTTAACGTTTGTTCTCCTCAGGTCTGTAACACGCAGCTACTACAGAGGGGCAGCAGGGGCTCTTCTCATGTATGACATCACTAGGTAAAGTCACACTTGTATATCCAGTGCCTCTACATAATATTATGTATTGCGCTTCCCCCTCCCCCCCCAGATATTCATATATTTCTGGATGTTTACCTAGAGCTATACTATGATATGCATTTATAGATCCTTTAGTGTGTTGATTTCTCACGCTTTCTGTCTCCGGATGTTAGTCGAGAAACCTACAACGCTCTGACCAACTGGCTGACAGATGCCAGGATGCTGGCCAGCCAGAACATCGTGATCATACTGTGTGGAAATAAGAAAGATCTGGATGCTGACCGTGAAGTCACCTTTCTGGAGGCCTCACGCTTCGCTCAAGAGAATGGTGCGTATTTCAGACAAGCAGTTCCCGGCTGCTAACAATTGTACTGAATTATAGAGGCACCCAATTGCTTTCAAACGGCTGATAAATACATCACAATAATCCACATGACCACAGTCCATCAATAAATATCTAGTGAAGGGATACTTCATCAAGATGTTTTGGCTAAAATACATGTTCTCTATTCATTATATCCTTTAAAGCATGTTTATAGCTCAAAATGAGGTATTTGACAATGTATCTGCTTTCATATTGTGACTTTACCACTAGAGGTCACTACAGGATAGTATTACTAACATAAACATGAACCAGTAGAGACCCACAACTGGCTGCATTGAGATCACAAGGGCTTTTTCTGAGGCTAAACAGTGATTGGTTATTGGTGCATTACCATTGTGGATATACTGTTTGCTTATAGATCTGTGGTGTTATTGTTAACTGAAATTATAAAAAAATATTTGCATTAATTTAAATAAAGCTCAAATAAAATAAAATATAAATATGAAATAAAAATAATATATTTGGAAATGTTGCAATGGCAACTAAATTGAATAAAATACCTTAAGTAGAAGTACTAAAATGACTAAAGCCAAATATAAATAAATTAAAGCTAAATAGAAATAAAAAAACTAATAAAAATCACAAAAGCACATAAAAATTAAAATGAAAACTGAAAATACGAAAATAAAATCCACATCAAAATATTACTAAATATTATAATAATATATAAATAATTCTAAATAAACACTATTACGGAATATTTTGCAATATATTCACAATCTTTAATTTTTTTTTCAGTGAGCATTGTTTATATCTTTGTTTTCAGAGCTCATGTTTTTGGAGACCAGTGCTCTAACAGGGGAGAACGTGGAGGAAGCTTTTGTCCAGTGTGCTCGGAAAATCCTAAACAAAATAGAATCAGGTACAAAAATACCAGTGCCTTGTGCTGTTACTTATAAGCTTGCAAAAACATTTGAATCAAGCTGCTGTGCTTGTCATTTGGTTGTGTAGGCGAGCTGGACCCGGAGCGGATGGGTTCAGGAATCCAGTACGGAGATGCAGCGTTGCGGCAGCTGCGTTCTCCCAGACGGGCTCAAGCAGAGAGCGTGCAGGAGTGTGGCTGTTAACACAGATCCCAGACAGCTGACCAACCAGGTGAAGGTCCAGAGGGTTCACTTCCTCTCTCTGCTTGCTTTCAAATCTTTTAAGGTTTCAGAGGTTTTCATATTAGAAGCTGTTCTGAGAGGTTTCAGTACTTTTTTAACATTGTGATGTGCAATCATTTACAGTAGAGTATGTTTATTCTTTGATGCTAATTTTCTCATTTTTGCTAATACTAAAAACTTGATATCTAAATAGCTCTGATATGAGTGTGACAGTTTGAATGCATGAGGGTGGTAGAGTGCTGTTCTTCCTCCACTGGCGCTCTGTACCACTCACTAAAAATAGATGTGCTGCATTCAGATTTAATCAGATACAGTTGTTCACATTTCTCAGAACATCATTCCCTGCATATTAGATTTAAGTGTCTTGTTCAGTGTGGTAGTGTTTTAATTTCTCTTCAGTGTCCTCGTTTTTTTTTTATTTTTTATCATATATGAAACTTTTAGTCTTTAGCTGGAATTTTCATTTTTCTCTCACTTTTTCCTCACTATTTTTATTTCTTAAATGATTGCATTTTTCAAACATTGAGTCACTTAAATGTTAACAATGCAAGAATCTAAGGTGATATAAAAAAGAATGCAAAACAATGGGTCTGAAAATACGAACATAACATATTTATGTGGTAATCATTTGTAAACCATTTTTTTATGTAGTTATAGTTGCACTGAATTGAATGAGACATTACACAGATGCATTACACAGTGTTTCTTGAATGAGGCCCAATTTCTCCAATATTCTAATTATTTTGCATTCATTTCTGCTCACTACTAGTTTACCCTTTTTCTCTTCAAAAGGATTTTGTTGGTTTCCCTTTTCATGGTAACACTATAATTAGGTTCATGTTAACAAATGCAGTACTTTTACAAGATTTACTAATCTTGATTCACGTTGATTTCTACATAAATGACCATTCAGAAGCTCAAAACCATTTTCAACATTGATAATTATAAGAAATGTTTCTTGAGCAGCAGATCAGCATATGAGAATGATTTCTGAAGGATCATGTGACACTGAAGACTGGGGTAATGATGCTAAAAATTCAGCTTTGCCATCACAGGAATAAATTATATTTTAAAATATATTAAAATAGAAAACAGTTATTTTGAATTGAAATAATATTACTGCTTTTATTGTCTTTTTTTATTAAATAAATGCAGCATTGGTGAGTATAAGATATTTTTTTCAAAAATATTCCAAAATCTTACCAACCCCAAACTTTTGAACAGTACGTACTACTTATACTAATTTAAGGTTGTATAAAAAATTATATATTTATAAATGAACCTAGATTATGAAACGCTTTAAAAAGTGTTGTTTCCAAATGTATTATGTAATGGTAATGAACTGAACTGTATTGTAAAGTGATACCAAAATACTTCATGACACATCATTTTAGCTTTAGTCAAAGTGTTTTCATAAATTGTCTGTAAAAGGATGTTGATAGCCGCCCCACAGCATCTCTGCTGTATTTGGCATACTCTAGCTGGGAGGAGATCTCATCAAGAAGAGGTGCTATTTTTGTCACTGACACCCACCAAATGCTGCTCAAGTTTGCTTCTGCATGCTTTACGTACAAATGACGATGACGCAGCACCAGGACACATGCACACATACAAATGGCTAAGTGTTTCACCTTCTTCCATCCCCTCATGAGGACAAACAAGTCCTTCGAACCCCTTCACCCTCTTATCAGTCAAATGCCACATGAGAGAACAGTGTCAGGGGAATGGATATAATTAACTCCAGATCCTCCCAAATACTTTCCAAGGTTTCTGAGGGGCCTTATTTGGAATGTGAGCTAGAAATAGAGATTCAAGGTGTCTTGAAGATGCTCCTTCAGTTTGTCGACGAGAAGAAAGGCCTCTGAAAAGACCATCTATATAATTACCTGCACTTTTTCTGTCCTTTGGCCAAGGCAGGTTTTGTGAACACGAGGAGGAGGACATTAGTGGGGAGTTTGACGTATGGCTCATCGTGGAGTGACTGTTTCCCTCACCTTACATTTACTTCTGTTCTGACATGCCGAGGGACCCCCTGTGCTCCAGAAGGCTCCAGAAAAATGTTTACTGTCCCCCTCGGGCCCAAGCCAAGACATCTGTGGTACCCAAAACCCTGAGTGTAGCTAAAAGACCCGGCCCTTGCCCCTGAGAATACTGCACTGAGCTCTTTTCCCGTCTTTCCCTCTTCCATATGTAGATGTTGTGTAGAGAAGAGTTTCTATTATCACCGTGGAGCATGTTTCATGGTTGCAGTACTACGACATATTCATAAATGACTATATACAGCATACTGTATATATATATATATATATATATAGCTTAGGCATACTGCATCGCTGCTCTATGGCACACGCCTGTAAATCTTATCAATGGAGTTTATCGTACATTATCTTGCTAGCACGTTGTTTGCTTTTTTAATCATTTTTTTTCCATATCTGTTGTATTTTTTGGTTGGTATGTTTTAGGAAAGGATGCTAGAGTATTTCATAAAAGTGGTTTTTGACATTTATGTCAAGAAGGCTTTGTTTTTGTATTATAATTTACATTCAAAATGAAAAATTTAAGGGCCAGCGCACACTTACCGTCATATCGCACTGTAGTACATTGTCAGTATGAACAGCTTCAAAATCAGTGTTACATGCTCTATATTTATTGTAAAGCATTTTTGTGCTGCGGTCCCATTTTTAGGTGTCTGTTGGAATGACACTGATGTGTTTGAACTGATTTCTTTGTTTTCGAAAATAGATTGCTTTTTTTGTAAAATGTATTTTTTTATTTTTCTCTACTTGTCCCGTTCTTCTTATACATTTTAAATGGATTTATCTCATATAAGCTTGCACCGAAATTTAATGATAAATCATTGTGGGCCTTGCTTCAAAATGCTCGTCATTATGTCTTTATATCAAGCTTTTATGTTTGTAAAAATGGGACAGATTACCAATAGTCATGCTTAACAATGCACTAAATGGTAGTTGGTTATTCATTTTTCATTAATCTTGTGTCTACACTTTACATTGATCTAAAAATAAATTAATTAATTAAAAAAAAAGAATAATAAATAAATTAAAAAATCTGTAGCACTGATGTAAAGAATTAAGGTCTGATTCAAAACCGACCTAATCAAATGTAAAATCAATGTAATTTGTGTAAAACTTTCTAGGCAGCTTTCTTCATGGAAATGCAACAATTTCTTAAAAAAATAAACAATTCATAAAAATCATTCAGTTAAAGTGAATAAGGGGGGCATTGCCAGACATTTAAATTGCTGCATGGATCTGACACATGGATGAGGTCTTGGCAAGCTTGCAGAATCCTGATGTCCAGGAATAGCATGCTGTAATAAGTTGGCAATATAAAAATCTGCCTTGTGCATTAGTGAGAACAGTTTCATATTTTACTGCAGCAAACCTGTGAACAAACTATCCTTACCTACAAACAAGAGAACTACTTTTATAGCCATAATACACTTATGAAAAAAAATTATTTTATTTTACTTTAACATACAATTAACAGCAACCTGTTAAAACTGAAAACTGACAATTACTATCAGACTAAGTCCTCATAAAGAAAGTGTTAAGAAAAACTCATATAAACATCTCACTTTCACAGGCAGTAATCTAAACACTTAAATTTTAATTTGAATCAAAACATCTTCCATAACAGTGGAATGGATATTCATATTAATGTAGCTCATATACATTATGGCTTCATTATTCTTACGCTAAAACCAACACTATTCACATAGTACATGCCATAAATCACTATGAAGATATGTGGGGAAAAAATACCTGTACATTTGTTCAGAGATGCTGAACTAAAATACAGTCAAAATTAGTTCAATACCCTTATATAAATAAGTGTACAAATATCCCAATATCATTATTTCTCAATAATAAATTACATAAAATACAACAAGAAATACCTGAGTGCTACTAAAAAACAAGTAGCATCACACTGAATGAAAGTTATGCTTGATGATGAACAGCTGGAATTGCTTTTGTTGTATATGATCTCGTTCAAAAAAAGATTTGTTATTTTGCTGTGTGTTTCATGCGTCAGATAACAGTGACTTTTTACATTATGTAAAGATATTACGGTTCTTATATGATACCACATGGAATATACCATTAGTGTGAATATACAAGTAAAATATAATGCATCTCATTTAAAAAAAAGTAGATATTAATATAACAGATCAACTGCCAATGTGAGATTAAGTGTTGATTAACACTTTACAAAGATCCATGTTGGTGCAAATTATTTCTGTAAAGTACAAAACAGATATCTTTACATGATTAAACCTAACTATTAACACAATGTAGATAATACACAACATCACAATACATCACATTATATGTCTATAATTGTCTGACAGTTACTGAACACTTTTAAGTAATTGGCTAAGAGTGTAAAGAGACACTGGTAAATCTCATGGCCTGTAAATCTACGTGACCTACAAAAATCATGCAACAAGGCATGTGATTGTTTGACAATTTGCTCTGCAGCATCAATGAATTGTGTTTTCATGTTTGATATGTACCAGTAAATGCAACATATCCATGGTGTAAATAAACCCCTAAAAAACCTTGAGTTATAATCTGTTTGATTCATTGTGGCCCATTCTGGAAGACAAAAAGTGAGCTGAACAGATGCGCCAGTCATCATGTGAAGGGTTTTGGGTTGTTTAGCCTGAGAGGTTTAGATAAGGATTTCAGAAAGCAGTACTACCCAGAACGAGCTGAAAAGCAGCGCATGTACTCCGTCATCCAGGGGTTGAAATCAGGGACAATCTTATTTCTGTTCTTTTCGAAGTCAGCAGATCTGGCTCTTTGTTTGTCAAATCTCTTCATCTGTTTTTCCACCTCCCGTCTGGTTTTTGCTCGCAACGCTGAATCATGGATCTAGACAGAAGAAACACTGCATGAATAACGATAAGCAAATGAGTACTTAAAGGGATAGTTCACCCAAATGTGAAAATTCTGTCAGTAATTATTACTCAGCTTCATGTCGTTCCAAACCCGTAAGAACATCGCTCATCTTCAGAACACAAATTAAGATATTTTGGATGAAATCCGAGAGCTTTCTGACCTGGCATAGACAGCAACACAACAACCATGTTCAAGGCCCAGAAAGGTAGAAAGGACATCGTTAAAATAGTTCGTGACATCAGTGGTTCAACGGTTACGCAAATAATTTTTGTGCACAAAGAAAACAAAAATAATGACTTTATTCAACAATTTCTTCGCTTCCGTGTCAAGTCTTTGACGGGCATTCATGAGAGTTCCACAACACATGCATGTGCATTCCTTTGCCTTTTATTAATGCCAACCCTAAACCTACCTTTAATACAGTAATTATTATAAATATAAATACAGTAATTATTGTTGTTCAGTACAACAAAAATTATACAATATTGATGTGCGTATGACCAGTAAGCCCTGGTGGCTGTGGCTGTAGCTGTATCCCTTCTAGCCCTAACCTAAACAAGCTGCATCCAGGTTCTATGTCAGAACACCGGCTCCTGTGTCAGCAGCACCACACGCATATGTCGTGGTACTTTCAAGAATGCACATCAAAGATTGACATGAAAGAGAATAAATTGTTGAATAAAGTCGTTATTTTAGTTTTCTTTGCGCACAAAAATGAGAGCCGATCCTCCCTATACACAAAGTACGCAAGCTGCGTAGGGCCCCCCCAACACCAGGGGGCCCCCTTGCTCTCAAAGATGATTTAATTTTAGTTTCGTTTTTGAATTTTAATTTTTGTCATTTCTTTTAATGCGGTGCGCTGTTGCCCTTTCTACATAAAAAATCAGTCAAATCATGTAACGTGAATGTCATACAGTGTCTTACTCGAGACAAAAAAAAAAACAAGTTGAAAGCGTACCGAGCTGCGGAAGAGACATTGTTTCTCAAACACTTTCCGTGAGCGCGATTTGAGACGGAGTGAACACGGACAAAGGCATTTCATTCATTCATAAAGGGCCCCCAGAAGTCTAGGATCGACACTGACAAAAATTATTCTTGTAACAGTTGAGCCACTGATGTCACATGAACTATTTTAATGATATCCTTACTACCTTTCTGGGCCTTGAAAGTGGTAGTTGCGTTGCTATCTATGCAGGGTCATAATGCTCTCGGATATCATCAAAAAAAATATTAATTTGTGTTCCGAAGATGAACGAAGGTCTTACAGGTTTGGAACGACATGAGGGTGAGTAATTAATGACAGCATTTTCTTTTTTGGGTGAACTATTTTTTCCCAGTAGTTTTCTTACTGGTCAATGCTCTCTTATGATATGGTGTGCTTCCTGAAATGATCCTCACCTCTGCAGTTGATGCTGCAGGTCCAACATTATGGGTTTTCTTGGAAGCCATATCTGTCTGCCTCTCTCCTGCACCATACAGGGCAAAAGGGTGACGGTTCTCTTTTTCAGGGTCTTTGATGTCATGAGGCTTGACTTTTGATCTTGTATACTTGTGTGAGGAGCGGCGTTTGCTCTTTGGTGTGTTGAGGATATGCGTGTCAGTTTCTGGGTTGAGAGCAGGAGAGCTTTCTCTGGCTCTTTCTTCCTCCCCCTCTTGATGACTTTGCTCAGCTACTCTGGTAACAAGCTCTGTTGATAAAAGATAGAGATATGCATGGAATTTGACATTTTGAATAGTTTTAATACAGTAGTTTTCATTAAGTACCACAATTTACTGTCTTTATGCTTTGCCATTTAGTTTTCCATTGTGGTTTGAACACAAACTATGCTAAATTGTGCCAGTGTTCATATTTCAACAAGGTAATGTGATCAGGTTCTCTAATATAAATGAGGTTTAGAATAAGCTGACGATTCTCTCTGTATGACATGTGTTTATGACACTATAGCTGTAAAATCAATAAAAAATATAAATCATTATTATTACTACTATAAATATTAATGTTAAATGTAAAACACAAATTCACAAAGATTTTTTTAATGTCAGTGCAGGTGTATATTAGAAAAACTTTTTATATTACCAGATTTTATTTTAGTTTAAATTTTAGTTATTTTGTTATGTACTTTTGTCAATTTTATTATTTTTAATATATATTTCTATTTAACTTTTTAAATTTAGTTTCAGTAATTTAATTACTGAAATCAATCACTTTTTCAGTTCCTGAGGCAATTTTCATTCAAGTTTTTAAAATGTACGTTTTGTTCTAATACTTGTATTTTAGATTATTATTTATTCAGATTTATTTCAATTAACGAAAACTACGATTTAGTTCACAATAACATCACTAGTCTAGAATACAAACTATTTTATAAGAGATATAATATAAAAGATAAACAATAGAAGATGACAGCCTGTAGTTTAGGACTTACTGGTGTCTGCAGTGTCTTCAGCCTGTGGTTTTGGTTCAGCTGCAGGTTCTGGTGTCACACATGCAGATCTTTCTGGTTTCTCATCATGGAGCCTCTCAGGTTCTTTATTCTGACTTAGAGGAGTAGATTTACCACTGGAGCTTGTCTCGCTCCCCCATTCTCCCCAAAACCAGGGGTTGTGCGCTTGCTCCAACAGCCGTCTTGACAGTCTGTACTTCAGCAAATCCTCATAACATTTTGCATAAGTGTCCCATTTCGGATCCTTAAATTTCTTCATGTATTCGGACCTAATTCGCTTCGTCACCATATTTCACTATCGTTCGACTGCAGAAAAATAGAGAAATTGTACATTATATAGCGAAGTAGCCTACTGTAACTGAATTATGCAATTTCGAGTCTATTCCGAACCCGCCCACCTCTCGCGCCAGACGTTTAAACCAAATCACTATGGCAACAGAATTCCAATAGGCAAGTGAAAGCCAATCGCTGGCCAGCAATGAATGGCGCTCCTTCGACACGCCCCCTTCATATACACGCCTACTTAAACCATGGCGTCGTCTCGGAGCTCTTTGAACCTCTTAACGCATTTGCATATTAGGGTTTGTTAGCTGACACTAAACATAATTGTGGACTTGACTAATAG